AAAGCACAGCAATGTCATTCCACCAGATGTCACTGTTTGCATATAGCAATGAAGTTATAATGATTAAAAGTATCCCCCCCCCCCTTCTTCATATTTTGTAAAAATATTAAACACTTATTCTTCTTTAGATTTATTATTTTATCAGGACTATATTCCCTGAATTTTAAAAAGTATTCCTTAAAGCTGATGCAGATTTTAAAGACTATATACTAAAAAAAATTAGTTGTAGCTTAGCATCTTCAAGAAGGTGAACTCCCCAAATCTTTTCTAGATCTAGGAGTTATCTTTTCAAACAACAGTTTTTGTAAGTTACTGTTTTCTGAATTTTAGATTGTGACCCAATAAATGGGTTATGAAATCAATTTAGTGGCTTGCTACCAGCCCTTAAGAAATGGCTGAAATAGAATAATCTATTGGATGTATTACTTGGTGAAACTTTTGTACATGAGCACTCTTAAAATACCTCTGTGTACATCTTTGAGTTACATAAAAGTGACTGTGAGCTCTATCCTGTGAAGCCTCCCCGAGGTTTTATACCCCTAAGGAGCAAAATTAATTCACTAAGGAAGGGAGGATGAAGATGTGTGTGGGGAACTCAAGTCAAGTCACACCAAGGAGGCAAGAGCCTTTTTCCATGCTTCACAGGATGGAGCTCATGGTCACTTTTTGTAACTCAGAATATGTGTGCGAGATTTGTAGCATGTGCTCACAGCTTAGTAAAATGTTTTATAAACCTTTTTGAAAGCAATCTACAATAAGAAATACATTTTATATCTCTGGCCCTGTGGGAGACCAATGTTGACAGGGATGGAGATTTAACTCACTCCAGTGAGATGGGTGTTATTCTGTCATTCAGTCGCCTTAATCATAATAACAATGATTATCATATCAACCACTGATTGAGCACATGCTATGTACAAATTTGTGCATATATTATTTCTGAGCACTAGAGCCTAAAAAGCCTGATTACTGTTGCCATATATAGATGAGGAAACAGACTTAGGACAAAAAAAGTGACCTACCCCACATAGCACACTAACTGGCCAAGCTGGGGTTAAAACCTTGTGTTTTAGCCTCATTCTAAAAGCTAGTTCTCCCCGTTCTATCAGTGATTTTTTTAGGCTTCTCCTGAGGATGAGGACCACGTGGAATCAATTCTAGGTGCATCAATTCTCAGACTCTATCTCAAACCCACTGAGTTAGAATCTCTAGAGGAGAAGTCTGAGCAACTACCCAGGCATATTCTAATGATTGGGCTGTTTTAGGCTAGACTGCAGTACCTCAGTGATTTTCAACCTTCAGCCTACATCAGAAGCATCTGCAGGGCTGGGTGAAAGCACCAATGGCTGGGCCCCACCTCCAGAGATTATGATTCATTAGCTGTGATGGGGCTCAAGATTTTACATTTCTAGCAGGTCCCCATGCGATGCCAATAATGTTAAGTAGAGAAATCACTTTGAGAAGCTCCACGGCACATCATGATGACACATTGTTCTTAGTTCCCCAGGACAGGGTCTAAGATTGGGTTTTCCTGGAGGACTCTTCTCCCTCAGCCAAAATTCAATAGTACTTATTCAGTACCTAATAATGTGGGAAACAGAAAGTGAATAAGAATTAATGTGGCTCCTCAAACCAACCTATGATCTACTCTGAAAAGATGTGTGGAATAAATTGGACCTTATACTCTATAATGAAAGAGAAAAATCAAATGCAACAGGAAAACTAGGGAAGCAAAGATGAATTTTGTCTGGGCAGAGGGGCATTATAAAGGTTTCATGGAGCCCTGGCCTTTGTGGCTTAGCTGATGGGTGCACCGTTCTATACATTGAAAGGTGGGTTCAATTTCCATTCAGGGCTTCATAAGTAGGTGCAGTTTGGATCCCAGCATAGGAGACAAATAACCGTGGTGTGTTTTTTTTCCCCTCTCTCTCTTTCCCTGCCCTTCTCTCTAAAATAAATAAAACATATCCTCGTGTGAGGATTTTTAAAAAAGGTCTCATGGAGGAGTCGAGATCTGAAAGCATTGTTTTCACCATTTTCATAGGCACACTGGATGGTAATTTGGTTTGCCCTTGTAATGATCTCAGGCTGGGCCAGGTGTTAGGGGAGGGAAGTAGGACTGGCCAGGGAGATGGTACCCAGACTGGAGGATTCAAAATGCCAGGCACAGGAGCTCAGGTGGAGTCATTAAAGTATGTGATGATAACTCTGGCAGGGTTTGTAGCATAGGGTGGGGGAGGGAGAGTTTGGAGGTAAGGGACCAGCAAACATGACATCATTGGGATCAGACGAGAGGAAAAGCAATGGGCCTGCGAGATTCTCTGGAAGGAGAAGGGTCAGTGTTAGTGATTACTTTTGGGAGTGAGGTAGAGCCTCGAGTAGAAGAGACTCAATCTGAACATCTGAAATGGTGGTGTATTCCAATGGGAAGAACTCCAGAAAGGATTGGTTTTTCCCTCTGGAAATAAGGAAGCAGGGAAAGTGTGGAGAGGAATTTCAGAGTAAGTGATTCATCTTTGTCATGCAAGGACAGTTGCTAACCTTGGGCAGCCTTCCCACCAAGGTTCCGCTTTCGGGTCTCCCTGGGGTGTGTATTCTAAAATATCTAATGACTTCCTTCACTTTCCTTCCAATCAACCAGAATTTCTATTTCTTCAGTGCACAGTTGGAATGTGAAAAGACAGTAAGTTGTGCAGGACCCTCACTACCTTGTTATTTGGTTTAGGAACAAATAAAAATACAGCGGTGCCTCAGGCAGCTTCTTAAGTCCCTCACCTGCTCCCTGACCTTAGAAATACTTTACTGATCTTGATGTATGTACTTTCCTGGCTCATTCTTCTAGCCCCTAGACCTTACCCTGTTCTCTGTGTGTGTGTGTGTGTGTGTGTGTGTGTGTGTGTGTGTATGTGTGTGTGTGTGTGTTGTTTTTATATATTAGTCAAGACTGAGTTGCAGAAAAAATAAAATATTTTAGCTATTTTAAGCAAAAGGGATTTAATAATGGGAATTCAATGCTTATAACATCAATGGAAAGATTGGAAAAATGGGTTTTATTCAGGGAGGGCTTCCACAGAAGACTCACACAGCTGCTTTACTGGCTGCTGGGAGCTGCTCTTCTGGACTAGGGAAACCTGGAACCAGTACTGGCAACACACCAGTCTCACTATGCCTGTTGGTATGCTCACTGGAAATCACACACACACAGACACACACACACAAAGTAACTGAATACTGCTACAGAACTCAATGTGACCATGACTGCTTGCCAACAAAAGACCAGAACGTTCTGTCTTCCCAATTGTATGTGAGTGTATCTGGTTAGTGGTCTTAAATTATCTCTAGGACATTGGCTCCAGGAGAGTTTTAGTTGTTCGTCCTCAAAATTACGATGGATTGGTTGTTGACTGGCAGTCTATCATAGTCACCATACTGGAGTTGAACTTTATGTTCTCTCTGAATGCAAATATTTGACTACATGAAATAGGAAGCTTTTGTTCATGACTCTGGTTTGGCAAAGCCCCATCTTCTCCAGCCTAGTTTTGGGTGGCTTGTTTTCCAACCTGGAATGATGGAATTTGAGGGATTCAGTAAGCTAAAGTCAGGTGGGTTTGTATACACTTGGTCTTCACATTTGGTGGCTTGTATGTGATTGTTCATATAATCTATACTAATAAAAGGGTAAAATGAAAATTGGTCATGATGCCCTCACAGTAACAACTGAACAGTGGGCTGTGTGGGGCAACAAGGCCAGCAGGGGGGTTAGTGAGGGATAACCCAATGACTGACCAGCAGGCTGCGTGAGGTGACCAGGCCGGCAATGGGGGGCAGTGAGGGCGACCAGGCCAGCAGACAGGGGGCAGAGAGGTGTGACCAGGCCAGCAGGGGGGTTAGTGAGGAACAACCAAATGACTGACCAGCAGGCTGAGTTGGGTGACCAGGCTGGCGGGGGTGGGTCAGTGAGGGTGACCAGGCCGGCAGGGGGGCTGTTGTGGGCAGCCAGGCTAGCAGAGGGGGCAGTTGGAGGTGATCAGGCCAGAAGGGGGGGCAGTTGGGGGTAACCAGGTTGGCAGAGGGGCACTGAGGGGCAATCAGGCAGACAGGCAGGTAAGCAGTTAAGAGCCAGTGGCCCCAGATTGTGAGAGGGAAGTCTGACTGCCAGTTTTGGCCCAATCCCAAGAGGTCCCAGATTGGAGAAGGTCCAAGCTGGGCTGAAGGGCCCCCCCCTCCATGCATAAATTTTGTGCACTGGACCTCTAGTAATATATAAAAAGTTAGAGGCAACATTGGCTTTACATATTTCCAGGTGAAATTGATATAGTTATAGTTTGTGTAAATTCACTTTATATTTACCTTATGTTTCTTTTACAGTAAGTGCTGCAACACAAAAATTAATGGATTTTCAGGTGGTCTGAAAGTTAATCATTACAGACATATTAGGCCTTCAATTTTTTATTTAGCTCATTTCTTTGGCTTAATTAAGACTTTTGTCGGTAAGTTTGTACCTCATATATATCCTCATGTTTATGCAGTTTATAGTGTAGAAGGAAAAACTTGATGCTATAACAGTTCTCTGTGTTAGCAAGATATGAATCAGGAAGAGGACATTTTAATGTCAGAAATGAATTCTGCTAAGGCTGATGCTTTACCTCAGTCTAAGAAATGAAAGCATTTTCCATGAGTTTGGAGTGGGGAGCAGGTTAGCAATCAGAGGGTACAGAACTTTTAATCTCTTTTGTAATCAGGTTTACATAGGGTGAACTTACTATTCTAATGTAATAAAACAAAACCATCATAAAGGTTATGACTTAAATGTGTTTAGAATCAAACATAAATTATTTTAAAATTATTTCCCATTTGGATTATCTGACTTCTGAACAATCTCTACTTAATAAGTAATCAAATGTTAATGTATTTACCTCAATGTAGATATGAAATGAGAACAAATACCTTGGTTTGTCAATAAGGTAAATAAGAAATTTATTGTTTTTATCACACTGTAGATTATGGCAAGGAATCCCTCTTATGAGTGACAATCAAGCATATGTTTCCGCCCTTCCAATAATGCCAGTGATACCACCTGAATTGCCACAAAAAATTAGATGGCATGATCAGAAACCACGCCTACAGCTCTTTGGAGAGGAAGTAAGAACTTCTTTAATATTAGTTTTCTCTATCTCAGAGGTTCTCAAATTTAGATTTCAGGGCTCTTTTGTACTATTAAAAATATTGGAGAAGTCAATTATTTATGTGGATGATATCTATTGATACAATATTGTAAATTAAAGAGAAATACTAAATGTTTATTTTTTGTTTATTAAAAATAATAGTGATAAAGTCATATATGTCAACATAAATAATGTATTTTTATGAAATATCATATTTTTAGACAAAAATTTTGATGAGAAACTAGGACTGTTATTTGTTTTACAAATCTCTGGCTTAATAGAAGATGGTTGGATTCTCATGTCTGATTTTTTTATTGTTGACACTATTATAGATGTCCCCCATTTGTCCCCCTTCATGCAGTCCTGGACCCCTCCCCCCAATCCCCAACCTTCACCACATTGTTGTTGTCTGAGTCCATGGGCTATGCATATATGCACAGATGTTCTCTGGCTCATTGCATCCAGTCTACCCCGCTCCTCTCCCCTCTGAGATGAGACAGTTTATTCCATGTATCAATGCCTCTGGTCCTATTTTGTTCTTCAGTTCATTTTGTCCATTACTCTACATATAAATGAGATCATATAGTATTTGTCTTTCTCTGGCTGGCTTATTTCAGTTAGCATAATACTCTCTAGGTGCATTCATGCAGTTGCAAAAGGTAAGATTTTCATCTTTTTTTTTTTTTATAACTGTAGTATGTTACAAACTTAAAAGACCCCCAAATAGCCAAAGCAATCTTGAGAAAGAAGAAAAACAGCACAAGATTTTAAACTATATTACAAAGCTAAATTAATCAAAACACTATGGGATTGGCATGAAAACACACATAATTATTAGAGATCCTGGAAATAAACCCACACATATATGGTAAATTAACTCAGGACAAATGAGCCAAGATTATGCAATGGGAAAGAACAGCCCCTTTAATAAATGGTGTTTTGAAAACTAAACAATCACATGAAAAAGAATGAAACTGGTTCACTATCTTATGCCACACATAAAAATGAACTCAAAACTAGATGAAAGACTGAAATAATAAAACTCCTAGAGAAAACATAGGCAACAAGCTTCCTATCACCAGATAAGAAAAAAGGAAATAGAAAGTCTTAAGAAAGAAATTAAAACTATAGAAAACAAACAAAATTTTTAATTAAATGTAATAATTAAAATAAAGAGCTCAATGGGTGGGTTCAAAAGTAGGATGGAGGAGACATGAAAGAATCAGTGATCTAGAAAATAGAACAATATAATTTATACAGTGTAAACAACAACAACAAAAAATAGAAAAAATTTTAGCAGAGACATAGGAACCTGTGGAAATCTAACAAAAGATTTAATACTTGTGTGATTGCAGTACCGGAAAGAGAAGAAAAAGAAAGGGGGATGACTGAAAATGTATAGAAAGAAATAATGGCTAACAGTTTCCCCAATTTGGAAAAATACTTAAATATATTCAGGAAGCTAAGCAAATCCCAAGCAAGAAAAATCTTAATACACACACACACACACACACACACACACACACACACACACGCACACACGCACACAAAACAACAAAACAAAAAAAAACTTGACCAAGCCACATAGTAGTCAAACTTCTGAGAAAAACAACATGAGTGGCAATGGATTTACCATTAGAAATGATGGGCTCCAGAAACAGAATATTCAGTGGCAGAACATTTTTCAGGCACTGAAGAAAGAAAATAAGTGTGAGCTCAGGGTCCTATAGCTTGATAAACATTCTTCAGGAATGGAGAGCGATCAAGACATTTCACATTAAAGAGAACTAAGAGACTTTATTGCCAGCAGTTAATTCTCAAAATAAAAACTTTAATAGACCTTTAATTATCTCAAAATAAAAACTAAAATAGACCTTTCTTCTCCTTTTGTGCCTGGTTAATTTTCACCTCCAATTGTTTTTAAAATTATTATTTTTGCATTAATTATTATAAGTATAACTCATTTTATTACACTTTGCAGATTTTTTTTTACACAGATTGAATGTCTGTGCAGCCCTGCATTGAACAATTTGATGGGTGCCATTTTTCCAATAGCATTTTGCTTGCATCATGTCTGTGCCACATTTTGGTAATTCTCGCAATATTTCAAACTTTTTCCATTATTATTTTTAATGGTGATTTATAGCCAATAATCTTTTATGTTACTATTGTAATTACACTTAAGATGCCATTGTAGGCTATTAATTGACCTAATTTCAATATTGTTGTGTATCAGGGAATAGGGAGGTCTATGGAGAGGGAGAAAGATGGGGAAATGGACGGGTGGGTAAGTAGTCTGAAGACACACATTTATCGATTAAGTTCTCCATCATATATGGATGAAGTTTGTGGCACCCCAAAATTGACTCTTTTTTCACTCAGTGTTCAATTTTTATTTTTTATTTATTTTTTGTCCCAGAATCCCATCCAAGTTACCAATTACATTCAGTTGTCATGTCTCCTTAGGCTTCTCCTGGCTGTTACAGTTTTTGAGATTTCCTTATTTTTGATGACTTTAACAGTTTCGGGGAGTACTGGTCAAATATTTAGAAGAATGCCCCACCCACTAATTAGGATTTGCCTGAGGTGATTTGGGGGAGAAAGACCAATGAGATAAGGTACCATTTGCATTGCATCGTGGCAGGTTTCATAATATCAACATGAATTATCACTGTTGATGTTAACTTTGATTACTTGTCTAAGATAGCATTTGCCAAGTTTCTCTCCCCCCCCCCCACCCCCCTTTTCCATTCTTTGGAGGAAGTCACTATGTGCAGTTCACACTTAAGCCATGTGGAGTTACGCTCTGCCTCCTTGGGGGCCCAGTACATACAAAAATTAATTTAAATTTGTCTGTGTAGAAGCTTTGTCTATTCTTTTTAAAAAAATATATTTTATTTATTTTTTACAGAGAGGAAGGGAGAGAGATAGAGCGTTAGAAACATCGATGAGAGAGAGTCATCGATCAGCTGCTTCTTGCACACTCCCTACTGGGGATATGCCCACAACCAAGGTACATGCCCTTGACCGGAATTGAACCTGGAACCTTTGAGTTCGCAGGCCAACACTCTATCCACTGAGCCAAACCAGTTTCGGCCTTTGTCTATTCTTTTATTTTATATTCAACTAAAGACCCAACGCATGAAAATTCGTGCAAGAGTAGGCCTTCCTTTCCCCAGCTGCCAGCACCGGCTTCCCCCCAGCACCCGGCACCCAGGCTGGCTTCCCTAGGCTGCCTGCAGGCACCTGGGACCTGACTGGCTTCCCTCTGGTCCTGGCTTTGTCAGGAAGGACGTCAGGAATGATGCCTGAAAGATGTCCAGTCTTATTAGCATATTACTATGACTCATGTTATACTTTGAGTTATAATCCAATAGTATTTATTATTATTTTGCTAAAATAGTTCAAGCTCTGGTCATTGAGGGCTCCTCCAAGTGGAGGAGTATGTATTATACCATCAGTATGTATTATACTAGCATGTATTATACCATCAACACACCCCACCATTGAGGGATTTTGGAAAACTCTTAATTTCTGGCAATACAATAAACTCTAGGCTCATCTTATATATTTCTTGCCTCAGTCCACATAATCAGCAATTTCTACTGGAAGCCTTAGTTATCTTTATTAAAGAATGTAATTAATGTAAAAATCTGGGCATTAGGTGTACTTGTTGACACAGCAAGGAAGCACATGTGTGTATACCAACACCTATAAAATACACATATTTAAAACTGTTTCTAAATGTCACCATCCATGTCTAAAACATGAGTTCATACTGCTGTCTCCAACTCTAATGCATTACCACATGGATCATTCCAGCCTCCTCCCTTGCTCATCTTTAAATTCCTACTCCAACAGTGACAAACCTGGGTCCTATCATTCTCCACCCATTTACTTAATTGCTCAATTCCTGTATAGAAGTGTACATGTATAGATGTATCAGAATTATTAACCTATATTCCTATGGAATGCACTTTATCAGCTGTGTACAGTTCCTTTGGCCTTTAGTATTATATATCTACTCATTTCCCAGTTATTAAGGTCAGCAACTTTCACCCCTCCTCCTTCTATGAAGTTGTTTTATACGTTTATAATACAGTTAGATTGTTTTGTTGCATTCTGTATTTCATATTGGGATTCCTCTTGATCTCCTAAATGATTAAAAAACATTTTTATACATTAAGGTTTACACTTCGTGTTGTACAGTTCAATAGGTTTTGGAAATATGTAATGTCATATAGCCACAATTCCAGCATCATAGAGAATAGTTTCACCTCTTAAAAATTACCCTATGCTCAATTAATATTTATTTTGAAAAGGTTTTAAAAGCATAAAACTAAATTAATACATACTTGGGGACATATTATGAAGAATTTATAAATATTAACATTTGGTTGTACTTCCTAGTTCCATTTTTTCTTCCTCCTTGCCCAAGGGTAGGCTCTGTTACAATTGTGGTCTTTCTAGTCACTGATTTTATATTTTAAATAGGGGCCCAGTACACAAATTCATGCTCCTTGAAACATGGACCATGAGGCTATGGTGGGCACAGGAGTGGGTCTCAGCTCATTCTCCATGCCCTCGCCTGGCCCCTCCTGCTGTGGCCACTGGTCCCCTGTTTGCCAGTAGCCCCGCTCCTGCTGCCACTGTTGCTCCCATGGGCTGACCTCGCTGGCCCTGCTTGCACCTGCTGATGGAGCACAGCGAGTGTGAGCGGGGGCTCCAGCACTGGCAGTGGGTGCAAATGGGGCCATTGCCAGCAGCAGGTGCAAGAGGCAGCTGCCAGCCATAATCGCCCCTCAGGAGCAGGGGGAGGTGGAGAAACGCTAAAGGGCAATTGGGGCTGGCAGCTGCTGCTTGCTTCTGCTGACAGTGCCAAGCGATCAAGGCCCACACCAGGCACCGGCAGTGGGTGCAAGTGAGGCCGGAGCCGGCAGCAGGTGCAAGTGCCAAGCAGGACCACAACATGTGGGAGCAATGAATTTTCAGTAATCACTAGAGGCTCGCCCCAATGACAGCGACCAGTGCCCCACCTTGGTCTGGCACCCCCGCTCATCTGCTTCACCATTCCTTTGCCGCCAATGCCCACCAATTCTGCGCTCTGCTGCCTGCTGCCAATGCCTGCCATATTCCACACACACCCCTGCTGATTAGTGAACATCATAGCAACTGGTTGTTCAGCTGTTTTGTTGTTCCGTTATCCTGTTGTTAGGTTGTTCAGTTGTTCTGACATTCGGTCTATTTGCATATTAGAAATATACACACACACACACAAACATACTTGAGGCCTGGTGCACAAAATTCGTGCACGGGGATGGGGGGTGTCCCTCAGTCCAGCCTGCACCCTCTTCAATCTGGGACCCCTCCTGATTGGCTGGTGGGTGTCATAGAAGTATGGTCAGTTTGCATATTTCTCTTTTATTAGTGTAGATAGATAGGTGTATTTGTAGCTTGAAACAATAAATGTAGTTTTATGTGTTTTATATACATTTATATAAAGGCACTATTTTGTATGCCTCTTTCTAAAACTTGCTTATTTTACTGTCAATACTATACTGTTAAGATTCATCTATGGTTTATACTATTTGTGATTGATCAGCTTTACTAGTGTTTAGTTATATGAATATACCATATTAAGTCATCTGTTTCTCTATTAATGGATATTGAGATTGGGCCTTGTTTTTGCTATTTCATATGCAGTATGAACATCGATATATATATGTCTCTTTATGCACATGGTTAAGAACCTCCTCATACTATATAGGTAGAGTGAAATTGCTGGATCACATGGCATGCACATTTCCCATTTTATTAGAAATGAACCATTGTCCTCCAGTGCAGTTCTACTAATTTCCCCACACTCTGGGCACCACTTTCAATTGTCAACTTTACATTTTTGCTAATCTGGTGGATATAAAAGTTTTTTCTAGACTTTTAGAGACTGTGGAACCAATCACCTCACTTTCTGGGTAACTAGATATGATTTTGATAGGAGCCTGGGTATTTTCCTTGTAGACCATTTATTAGTTTTTAATAACCTTTTATGTTCTTTTCAAAGATGTCTGCTTATCCAGGAATTACAAAGTTCTTTTGGAAATCAACTTCACAAAAATTCTCTGTTCCTGTATCTGTCATGAAGAAAACAGTGTATCCAAACTATGAGGTAACATACTGAATGAATTTTCCCTATTGTCTCTAATAACATAATAATTTATTATTAGGCTAAATTTTACTGGACAGTTGTTATGTAATTTGTCACAAAACTGTTGTCATAATTAAGAATGATTGAATTATACTATAGAAATTTTATATATAATACATAATTATATAGTACAGGGTTAGGCAAAAGTAGGTCTACAGTTGTTCATATGAAAAATAATGCAATAATTCATAAATAATATAAGAATAAACTCTGTTTCACATGCTCACAACTATAAAACTACTTTTGCCCACTCCTCCATATACATATATTTATATAACCATAGTATGTGTGTGTGTGTGTATATATATATATATATACACACACATACATACACACACATATTTATATACTAGAATCCTGGTGCATGGATTCATGCCATTGAAAGAATTAGTTAGAAGAAATATTTTAATATTGCTATTTGCCCTTTCTCTATAATAGAAGTGTCAACCAAATTCATGATTGACAATGACAGATCAAAACACATGTGTGCAATTGGTACCAGCAAGAGCTTTATATGTATCACACATGTGCAAGTCAACTTAGCCTTATATATATATATATAGATTATATATATAAAAAAATTTTGTACTTATTTATGTACTGTAACCAGTCAAAATTTTCTTTTTGAAAGTATATTTAATTTAACTGTGGTTCCAAGATATAAGACTAGTTGGATTGTTCAGAATATCTTCATGGTATTTTTATTTGTTTTTAAAAGCACATTTTTAGGGCTAGGAAGATGGCTGCCAATGGGAAGGCAGACTGCAAGATAGTGTGTGAATGAGAAAACAAAGGGAGAGTGTGTAGTCGCAAGGGGAGTGTTTGTTGGTGAGTTGAGGGACAGCTATACTCCAGGAGACTGTGGAGGACTACTAGACAGAACTCCCCTGACTGGGCAATCCCCACTGCTGCTGGGTTCCCTCCCAAAGTGACCCACTCAGACATGGAGACCATGCTATATGAAGGGGAAAGTGAATGTTATTGGGTGCCTAAAAAGCCTGGGAATCTACAATTATGGCACTCACCAAACAGCTGTGAACCTGAGAACACCAGCCCCCAAGTGCCGCAAGCATGCAGATTCAGAGGAGTCTACACTCTCTCACAAAAAGGTCAGATTTTGCCTGGGATAAGGAGAGAGAGAACTACATAACCAGACACACGGGGAAGAAAGATCATGGGGAGACAAAGAAACAGCCCACATATGAAAGAAAACCAGGCATCACCAGAAAAGGAAGTAAATGAAATGGAGGCAAGCAACCTGTCAGAGAAGGAATTCAGAGAAATGATCATAAGGTGGATGAAAAGAATGGAAGACAAATTTGACAATATGTGTAAGAACCAAGAGGAAATGAAGAAGAAGCAAAGAAGAAATGAAAAATCACATTGCTGCTATAAATAACTCAATAGAAAGCATCAAGAGTAGGCTAGAAGCAGCAGAGGACCACATAAGTGAGCTAGAAGACAATGTAGGAAAAAATACCCAAGTAGACCAGCTTCTAAAAAGCATGAGGAGAGCCTAAGGGAACTTTGGGACAACATGGAACAAAACAACATCTGCATAATAGGCATGCCAGAAGGAAAGGAAACTGAGCAAGGAACAGAAAACGTGTTTGAAGAAATAATGTCAGAAAACTTTCCTGATATAGAGAAGAAAAATGCCACATGAATCCAAGAAGCTCACAGTCCCAAGCAAAATGAACCTCAAAGTACTAACACTAAGGCATATTATAATTGGCAAGCACCAACAACAAAGTAAGAATCTTAAAAGCAGCTAGAGAGAGACAGAAAGTTACATACAAAGAATCCCCATCAGACTAGTGACTGATTTGTCAACAGAAACACATCAGACCAGAAGGGAATGGAATGAAATATACAAAGTCATGCAAAGGAAAGGTCTGAATCCAAGAAAACTGTACCCAGCAAGCCTATCAATCAAAATTGAAGGTGAAATCAGGACTTTCACAGACAAAAAAGGACTAAGGGAGTTTATTACCACCAAACCAGCAATGCAAAAAATGTTAAAAGGTCTGCTGTAAAAAAAGAAATAGGAAGCAAAGAAGGAACACCGGGTAAAGAATAAAAATGGTGACAAACAAGTACCTATCAATAATAACTTTAAAGGTAAATGGATTAAATGCTCCAATCAAAAGACATAGGGTAACAGATTGGATAAGAAAACATGACCCATATATCTGCTGTCTACAGGAAACCTACCTCAGAAAAAAAGACACACACTAACTGATGGTGAAGGGATGGAAAAAATATTTCAGGCGAATGGAAATTTAGAAAAAAAGCTGGGGTAGAAATACTTATCTCTGACAAATTAGATCTCAAAATGAAGGATAGGAAATGAGATAAGGAAGGCCACTTCATAATACTAAAGTGAGCAATCCAATAAGAAGAAATAACTCTGGTAAACATATACGTACCCAATACAGGAGCACCCAAATACATAAAAATTACTCTGGAGGATATTAAGTGAGAGATTGACAGCAATACAATCATAGTAGGGGATATAAATATCCCACTATCACCATTGGACAAATCCTCTAAACAAAAAATCAGCAAAGAAACATCAATCCTAAATGACTCACTAGATCAGATAGAATTAATTGACATCTTCAGAATGTTTCACCCCAACGCCACAAAATATACATTCTTCTCAAGTGCACATGGGTCATTTTTAAAGATAGACCATATATTGGGTCACAGGCAAAGTCCCTTCAAATTCTAGAAGATACAAATCATATTAAGCATCTTCTCAAATCACAGTGGCATAAAACTGGAAATAAACTATAACAAAAATAATCCCCCCAAAAGTCAAACACATGGAGATTAAATAGCAAGCTATTAAACAATGATTGGGTTACCAGAGAGATGAAAGAAGAAATAATAAGCATCATGGCAACAAATGACAATGAAAACACAACAATCCAAAATCTATGGGACACAGCAAAAGCAGTCTTGAGAGGGAAGTTCATAGCTCTACAAGCCTACTGCAAAAAAACAACAACAAGAAACAATGATAATAAATTACCTAATCCTGCAACTCAAAGAGTTAGAAAGAGAACAACAAGAAAACCCTGTGTAAGCAGAAGGAAGGAAATAATAAAGACCAGTCTCCACTGACATGGAGACCAAAAAAACAATACAAAAGATCAACAAAATCAAGAGCTGATTCTTTGAAAGGATAAACCAAATTAGCCAGGCTCACCAAGAAGCAAAGAGAAAGGACCCAAATAAACAAGATCAGAAACAAAAGAGGAGAAAAAATAATACACCTCACAGAAATCCAAAGATTGTTAAAAAATACTATGAACAACTCTATCCCAATAAACTGGACCACCTGCAGGAAATAGACATATTTCTAGAAAAATACAACCTTCCAAAACACAATCAGAAAAAGTCTAAACATCTCAATAGTTTAGTAACTATGGAAGAAATTGAAGCAGTCATCAAAAAGCTTCCAGCAAACAAAAGCTGGGGACCAGATGGCTTCACAGGAGAGTTTTTTTGCTTCCTCACTTTTCAATCTTTAAGAAGATTGGTTTGACTCTTCGGGTCCTATAGTCTACTGTTCGATTTCTGTATATTATTCTTTATTTCAGACAGTGTGTGCTTAATTTCTGACTGGTTCTTTTTCATTTTTTTTTTGGTATTCTCATTAAGATCCTTGCAGGTCTCACTAAGTTCCTGGGAGGTCTCACTAAGTTTCTCAGCGGTTTCTAGAAGAATCTTGAGGAACCTATAACTGTGATTTTGAACTCTATATCTAGTAGTTTTCTCCATTTCTTTCATTCATGACATGTCTCTTTGTCTCCACATTTTGGCTGCTTCCCGGTGTTGATGGAGTGGCTTTGTGTGGTAGTTGACCTATAGGGCCCAGTGGCTCAGCCTCTCTAATCACGTGAAGTGGACACTCTTGCTGCACCCCTTTGTGGGCTGGGTGCACAGTCTTGTTGTTATTAAGCCTTGATCGCTGTTGGTACACTGGGAGTAATTGACCTCCAGGCCAATTGGCTGTGAGGTTCAGCTGTGTCTATAATGGAAGAATTGTGCTGGAGACACGCTTATGCTTTAGGGGGGCTTTGGTGCTCACTGAGTCTGCCTCTTGAGTGTGTTGCTTATGGATGTGAAGAATTGAAATCTGGTGGCACTGCCCACTAGGTACACTGGTTCCTGTATCTTCAAGAAGGTGCAAGTCAGCTACTGTCTGAGGCCAGCCAGCAGGAAGAAAAGTGAGATCTGCAGATTTCTCCTCTTTGTTTGGGGTTTGGAGCTGCCTGACCCAGCTGAAGTTTGTTAGGTTAAGCTGAGAAAGGGCAGGCCATTCATATGCAAAAACCTCTGTGCACAAATGGGGTGGGTTTGTAAATTGGGTTGGGCGGGGTCTCAGGGAATAACTAGGGCATGGCAACTAGTGATGGCTGCCAGCCAGCCTTCTCTGTGTCTCCATGTTTACAAGTTCTGCATTGTTTACTGCACTGAAGCATCCTTCACCCCAGTGCAGTAAACAATGATTCCTGCACACATCTCTGTGAGAAAGCCACCCTCACTTTCCAACCTGATGCCAGACAGTCCACTTTCTCCCCAAATTAGTTTGGGCAATATTTTGACAGATTCCAACATATGACTCATGTTCTCTTTTAAAAAGCAATAATTGATAGTAAGTTCTGCTGTTTTAATATCTGTAAAATACACTACCGTAAGTCCTCACTTATCATTGTGGATAGGTTCCATGACTTAAAGCAAAATGACATGCAATAAAACTGATTTTACCATAAGCTAATTGATATAAACATAGTTAAGTTGCCATGGCATCGCATGAATGTTATAAAAACGTTTCTCTAGGACCTGCAGTATTAAGGCTTTGTCCTTGTTATTGGCAAAAGCATTCTTCTAAATACAGCTGAGACAGGTTTATAGTTGTAACCTAAAAGTAGGTTTACTGTTGTAAATGAAACACAGTTTATTCTTATATTTTCAATTAATTATTGTGTTATTTTTTATACAAACAACTGTAAACCTACTTTAGCTCCACCCTGTATATAATTGCTGTTATTCCATCATATTTAAATATTTTGTATAGGCATATGACAAAATTGTTCCAAAATTTCTTGCATATCATATAGTTTGTCTTTGAAGAATAATGGTAAAATAACCCAAGGCTCTTTTTACTGTGTCTGGTAATTTTCTTACAATGTGCTCTAACTACTTTTTAAAATACAACAAAAGAGGATGTACAAAAATAAATAAATAAATACTTGGTGATGCCTAAGTTACCCATAGCCTTCTCCATATCTGTTTCATTCTTAGTGATAATTACACGGTGCTTTTTATAGCTAATTTTCTATTGAATAATTGTTTTTTAAATAAATTGAATAAGTATTGTTTGTTTCCGCATATCTAAATTGCTGATTACAGGATAGAGAAATGACACACTTAATAATAATTATAATCACTGCAGCAGTTTACCTATACAACAATAAATGTGCATATATAAAAATTCACTGATAGAGTTTGAATTATAAGGAGATTTTCATTTAGTTTAACATTTAGAATGTTACTTGTAGTTCACAGTCAGTAGTAACATTGACAGTTGATCCAAATGATATGTTTTATTCTTAATCCTGCTGTTGATAAGCTGCATAGATTCAATACAAACCTGTGAGATCACAGGATCACGGGTTGTTCCTAAGATTAGGGTTGCCAGAAATAACATAGGTGAATCCACTTGACTAATGGCTAATGCTGAAGCCAAATTGAGGGTTTTGGCCAAATACTAAAGTTGTAGCTGGACTTTGATGCAACTCTAGTGAATATTTCCTGCAATTCTAGCCTTTCCATACATTTCTCTTTTGGTAATAATGCTGTTTTTAGAGTGACAGTGATCATAGGGTTTTTATTTTATTTTATCATAGCCTTTTTAAAGTATTTCACTATGTAATTTAAAACTGTTATCTTTTTACCACAGAGTGTTCAAGGAAGTAGAATTTTAATTGAGAAATTTTTATCTGAAAGCAGGGAAAGTGTCGCTGCTTTAATTCAGCAAACCCAAACTATGAGGGTATGTATACTTTTAATTCTGATTTGTAGATTGGTTGCTTTATCTGCCTATCGCTCAGATAATATTTCTAGAAATGCTGACATGATTTCTTGGTGCTTCCCCCAATCCAGAAAATGCCTCACAGCATTTGCTGGTATCTTTGTTGAGAGCACATTTCCTCTTTTTTCAAACTTGTTGCCTTTATGACACCCAGAAGATGCTATTTACTAATCAATGGCAGGGTATCTGCTGTGAGTTTTCCTAAAATTTCTAAAACCTCTGGTTTTGTAGTTATTTACCACTTCTTGCCTAGGTCCTCAATGATCAAAGGAACATGATTATAAGTGTGTTTTTTTATAATGGGGAATTGTTCATGGTGATGAAACAGAGTAAAACTGAATTCTCTAAATGGCGATTAGACTTGTGCTCATCTTTTTCACTACAGTGTATCCAAGTAAGTGAATTAAATAATACAATCATGGAGGAAAGAGATAGTGATTGAGAGAAGAAGAAAGGTAGAACTTTATATAATTGGTCTAATAAGTTTCCTGAATGCTAAGCAAGAAACAGTTACTTTTCTCTCAATAGTGCTTCAGCCCTCTATTCCTCTTGGATGATATTTTAGGAAGCTAAGTGTTACACAGTAGAGAGTCTTAGTCCCATGGGTCAAATCAAATCCCTGTTCTAGTCAGTTAACTGGACTATGTGTTCATGCCTCTTTCCATATAGTCAGGTTATACATTTTTTTTTGAGGGGATAACATTTCTAATTAATATAGATCATTCTCTTGCTATTTTCCTTATAGCATTGACTAAATGTTTGTCCTTTTGTGTGTTTGATCGTTGTTTTCTTCTCCAGCCTGGGGTCATATCATTCTTGTTCACTGTTTTATCTATAACACATAGAGCAGCGACCATCACATATAAAATAATTGAATCAACAAATGACACTTTCTAGTTTGAAATGCCATTTGCACTTTTCTAGACTACTGTAGTAGCAGTACCTATACCTGCCTGTCAGATAATTCCCATTTTTAATAGCTGCTTCTTCCAATCTATTCTCTTTCTTGCCACTACTATATATTCCTAAGATACAGATAAGATTATGTTACATATGCCTAACAAACTGAAATATTCCACCTACAAATAAAGTTAGAGTGCTTAACTAAGTCTCATAACCTGGCCTCAACTATATTTTCTATTCTAATTGCTAGTATACTTCTGCCTCCACGTAGCCTCTATGTACCTGTACTTTGTCTGCACCAGAGTCTGTGGGGACCAAAATCCCAGCACTTCTAGGTTTGTGTATACTATAATAGCAGGTTATTCCCATGGCTGGCAAACTACGGCTCGTGAGCCACACGCAGCTCTTTGGCCCCTTGAGTGTGGCTCTTCCACAAAATACCACAGCGTGGGCGAGTCTATTTTGAAGAAGTGGCATTAGAAGTTTAAGTTTAAAAAATTGGCTCTCAAAAGAAATTTCAATTGTTGTACTGTTGATATTTGGCTCTGTTGACTAATGAGTTTGCTGACCACTGGGCTATGCCATTGGCCTGGGATGTTTGCAATCCCTTCTCAGTCCATAGAAATGGCACTGCCTTTCACAACCAACCCTGATGCTACCTTACTGCTTTAAGCCATATAGTCAAGGTTCTTTTCCATTCAGAATTGACCTCTCCCTCTCTTGGTTTTTTTCACACCTGATTTATGCCATCTCATAGTCATTGAGCTTATAGCTATTTCTTTATGTCTGTTTCCTCTATTATATTGGTTGAGTTCATGGAACATACTGATGTACTTCCCAACTCTTTTAATATAATAGTAAGTGATAATAAGTGATAACATTTGTGTGGTTCTGTGGAGTAGAAGGTTGAGCTTACTCATGATTGGGACAGTAGTTGCTCCAGGTTCCACAATCACAACTCAAGGGCTAAGGGGATTAATGGCTCAGCATATCCATGGCACATTCACACACACCTGTGCCACTTATGCCAACTGGAAAAATGCACTTAGCACTTTACCCAGAGCATGCACTAACTAGGTAAAATTAAAAAAGAATTTGAAATGAATGACTAAATTTTAAGTTCTGCTCTTCTCTGTCAATTAAATGACTTCAAAGTTAGTAAGAATCTTACTTAATCAGTCTTTCTGCATTTTCTTAACTTACCTAAGCAGTTACCAATAGTCAACTATCATATATTTTAATTTAACACATAGTATCTTCAGCCAGTGTATAATTACCCTTTTAATTTTTCTTTATTGATTGATTTTAGAGAGAAAGAGGAAGACAGAGAAACAGAGATTGAGAGAGAAAAAATATTCATTTATTGTTCCACTTATTTATGTATTCATTGGTTGCTTCTTGTTTGTTCCTTGATGGGAAGGTCAAACCTACAACCTTGGTATATTGAGATGACACTAGCCAACTGAGCTACCTTGCCAGGGCCTAATTACTATTTTATTATTTCAGATTTTTTCCCTAAGAAAATCTGCATCATATGAAAATATCCCAAAATCTTGCAGCACACGATTTTCACAATTAAAGGTATGATAATTTTTCAGTTTTTAATATTCAAAAGAAATATTTATCTTTACTACTAATAATCACCACCTATGCTTTTTTTTGTTTTGTTTTCCTGAAGTATGTGGCTGGTTATTTCATTCAGAGTTGACTGAAAGTTTGGATTTGAATGTGTCTGGTAGCGCATGTATGATTGTGGTTGGTGATTCCAAGTTAAGATTTTCAGTAGCACTTGGAAGTGTCTCAGAGTCATAGTATATTAGAAATCAAGTCTTTTACAATATTGACCTACACTTGCATTGGGCTCACATTTTAAAACAAAGCAAAGGTCAGAAAGTGATAAATGGTAGAGCTAATACTTTAAACCCACCTCTCTTCTTACCAAATGAAATGGACTCCATCTTTATCAAGAATTCCTAGGCATTTCTGAGCAGCTGGTTCTTATCCTCAGTGGCATTGACCTCTAGCTCCAAGGTGTTTCACGACCCCTCTTCTCTCCCCCAAAAATCTGGTAGCTTTTTTGATTCTCCACATCAGTTGCTTTTAACTTGCTTGTAATCTGCCTAACTTTATCCTGCTTCTTATTATATTTCTGATATTAATTCTTTCTTATTGACTCGGTGATTTCGCTGTTTTGTATCCCTGGGCACTGACACTACTCTTAAAGTTTACTTCATTGACATATAACATATTAGCTTCAGGTATACAGTAATTATTTGATATTTGTATATATTGTGAAATAATCACCATAGTAAGTCTATTTAACATCCATTACCACATAGTTATACATATTTTCTTGTGGTGAGAACTTCTAAGATCTACTTTCTTAACAACTTTCAAATATGCAAGACAATATTTGATGCTATAATGCTGCACATTACATCCCAATTATTAACTTTATAAACTGACTTTTTAAAAACATCAAGAATACATGATTTAAAATTTTTTTTCAATAGGGACCAAACTACATTAATAGTAATAGTAATTAAATTAATTTTAAATATAAATCAACTAAATTTATTTTATTTTTTCTGCCTCTTTGTATCCTCATTAATAAGAGAATACATTCTGCAATTGAATTGAGTAAGGAGAAGACTGTAACTCCATTAGAGGTTAAGAATGACATGGAAAGCAGTTTAAAAGAGGTGCTGTTTCAGAAAGCTAAGGAGTTGGAACGTCGTCAGGCGGTTGAGCAAACTGAAACTGAGGAAATCACCCAGGGGAAAGAAAATATAGATAACATCTTAGATACCATCGACGACAGTCACAGTCTGAGAACTGCGTCTCTTTCTCTCATTGAAGCATCTAGAAAAGCTGGCATTAGTTACATTGTTTACCCCAGGAAAAGGAAGATGAAATCGAAGAAATTCTCTAAGCTTTCAACTGTGTTGGCCGATTTATCCAAGCCTCCAAAAGTTCTAAGCAGGTCTTGTTTAATCAATAATTGTTATATTTAAGAAATGCATTGTGGTTTTGGCTTTAACTTTATAATCACACTCATTGAACATGGGGCTGATATAAGGGCATGAAGAAGACTAAGTCAATTTGATGGCTAAATGAAATCTTTTAATGGAAAGAAATAAAATCTACTAAGTTATTTTTCTGAAGTGATTTAGGACCAACCACTGCTCCAAACAAATATTCATTCAAAAGCCAAAATAGATTGCTAGAGTTGAACATTTAAAAATTTGTTATTGAATTGAGTAATAAATCAGATAGACAAATTGTTTTTTTTTTGTGTATGTTATGAGCCCTAATTCAGAGATCAACAAAAATAATTTTTCTTCCACCTCAAAAGTAATAGTATCTAGTTTAAAAATATGGAGGGACCTAAATTAAGGACAACTGAAAGTCCAGGTATGTTAATACTTAAGTGTTCAGGACATAACTTTCTTATGACCCAGACATTGTCAAAATAGTTTCCAGAAAGCTGTGTGCTTTGTTCTCTTTCAGTGTCCCGAAGTTGTAACAAATACTTCATTTAACTTATGCCCTTTTGAAAAGTAAAGACTTTCATGATGATAAGAGAGTCACAGATGTTTTGTTCACTTTATAAATAATTGCTAGTTCTGAAAAAGGGTTCATTATATGTTAGTGTGGTGACTTATTGTCTCTTAGTGGACTGGAGGCTGGGGGATATTTCTTTGTAGGTGTAAGTAGAGTAGGGTAGAGATCAACCCTAGTAGAGAACGCCATTCAAGCTCTCTGCTCACCACTTAATGTTTGTTTCCCCTGCAACAAATATATCTGGGGGGTTTTTGTTAGATCATCTTTAGAGGACTTTAGCTAGGTTTTTCTATGTTGACAAATCAGAAGATTGCTTATACATTTTTGATACATTTTCTCTTTTCAAAGTATTATGAATCTTTACGTTCCTAGAAAGGATACTCTGCAGCACCATTTTGGCCATGGCTGAAGTGACTTCTAGCTATATAAAGGATTTAGCAGATTCAATACTCTTTGGTGGGATATTTTCCTGCTTTCAGGCCCTTTGGTATTTTGATTATAAAGTTTAACCATTTAAAGAGATTTATTTGTTTTTTGTCCAACTGGCAGGCTCAGTATTTGATGTCATGGTTCAATTCCCAATCAGGGCACATGTTCAGGTTATGAGCTCAATCCCACATTGGGGATTGTGCAGGAGAGAGCTGATTAATGATTCTCTATCATCATTGATGTTTCTCTCTTTCTCTCATCCTCTCCTTTCCTCTCTAAAATCAATAAGAATGTATTTTTTTAAATAAAAAGATTTATTTGATTTTTAATAACTAAATTTGAAATTTGTATAGGCAGAGGTGAAGGCAATAAAACAAACTATGGGAGTATTGATCTAGGATAATACATTAGTACAGCTTTCCTACTTTCTTTTTTTTTTTTAATCTTACATTAAATTACCACAGAATTCTAGTATGATATAATAATTGTAGTATGAAACAAGCTTATGAAACAACTTCAAATTTTTTTATTTTTATAGGTTGAGATCTTTCACTAACCTTAACTTGATTAACACAGAAATATCTTGCTTACCATTTTATATCAGCTCTTTAAGCTTGTTTAAACACATTCATTCTTGGCTAGCTCCCAAAGTTGGCTAGCACTTCCAAACTTGACGTGGTCCTGAAAGTGAATCTGTGGTTTCAACCCTAGTTTTCTTGGCTTGTCTTGCTCCACTATACACCCAAGACAGGCAGATATTTTTTGTACAAGTAGGAGATGAATTATATTCCTAAATACCATTAATCTGTAATTTTCCTGATGGTCAAGCATTGCTTTTAGTATACTACCGGTATGTTGGTGAACGATATGGGATGGAATGGGTCAGTTCCAGAGATTTCCATTTAAACTTTATTACCATTATCTCCCCCAGAGTACACCTTATTTAGTTATTAAGTTGATTTATTGCCACTACATATTCTGGGACTAGGGGAATTATCACAGGATGGTCCCATGTCTCATTCGATCCACTGTTAGGTGGTTTCAGGCCAAGATTCTTTCTACCACTTGGCCTTTTTAATTCCCTAATTTATTTCATTGATGGATTTCAGTGGCATCCATAGTGGGTGTCTGTAGATCAGTGTAAGTTTAGAGCCAGTATCTAATAAGCCCCAGAAGGTTTGGGTATTTACTCTTTCCCAGATCTTAGGAAGATTTGGGGGAATAATTCATTAAATAATAGGGTGTCCCAAAAATGTATCTACACACTTTGAATAATTATAAAGACAGTGTTCATTAAAATACATTTTCATTTTCAAAATTGAGCTACTAGTTTTTAAAGTGTGTATACATTTTTTGGGACACCCTGTATTTCTTAACCACACTGTAAGATCCTTCCTCAAAGGCTGAGCCTGGCCTTTTTGTCAGGTAAGAGGCTTTGGACTGTGAATTGGCTTAGGTCTGAAAGTTGGGTAAAAGGTTTCACCTAGAGGTGAAAACCTTCTAAGTATTCTTAATAAATAGTAAGTCAAAGAACATCTTAGCGGGCTGCCCATCTATTTCATTAGTTACTGCCACAGATCCTCATGAATTAAAACACTGTGATTATCGTTCTGTCCCTGTGGTTTATTTTGGTCAGTGTGACCACCAATTCCAGCTAAATGCACCAGAAATTTGTGTTTAACAAGTCTCTGGGTGACTTTGGTGAACAACAGAGAAATAGTAATTTTGTTTATGGTTGAATTGGTTTATTGATTATAAAAATAATTATATTTCTGTAAATTAAAAAGATCACTCTTTAAAACTTAGGTCAACATCTCATGGAATCCTTCCAGAACAGAAGAAATATTTGATCAAACTGCCTTTATATGAACGTCAATTTCGGAGCCCCAGCCTGCCTACGTATTTAAATTTTGAAAAATTTGTCCAACGTAAGGGAGGAATTCCAGAAAATAGTGATGTTCGGACATGGGTTCTTGATATATTCTCTAAGGAAATATATCAGAAGACAAAAAAAGAGAAAGTTGTTAAAATAATTGTTCAGAAAGACTTTCCTGTCAAAGAGAAAGAACCTCCAGAACTAGAACTGAATGATTCTTTGAAGTGTGATCTTCCACCAGAAGTCATTAAACATTATGAATCTGAAGTGAAGATCTTGACTGAAGATATAAATAATAAGAAAACATATCCTGCATTTTCATATTGTAGGCGTGGCGCTCTGTATAGGAAACTGGGGAAGTTACAGAGTGCCATGGATGATCTACAGGAAGTAAGTTTATTTAACCAAAATAACAATGTTAACATTTAAACTTGCATATAATTATATAGCAATTTTTACTGAAAGTTTAAACAATTAATTTGTAGTGTACCTTTGGGATTGTGAAATTATATTATTGATATTTTCAAATAATAAATATCAAAAGTACTAGATTTTGATTGTCAGATTGGGAGGTACTATTTTATATCATACACATACAAAGCCAGTGGAATCAATAGTGCTTGAAATCTGATAGTATATTTTCTGTTAGTAAATCAACTTTAATGGAATTTATACATATATTTTCTAGGCTATATTCTTGGAACCACTGTTACTCAATGCCTATTGGCACCGGCATCTCATTTATCTTTTCCAAGACAAATTTAATGAAGCTTTGGATGATCTGAATTATATAACTAAATGTAATAAAAATAATGCAGGTGGGTTGTCTGTGCAGTTATATTAATTATATCTTTACCTAATCTGTGCTCATTTAATGCTGTTACAAAGATACTTAAATCAATAGACCCAGGTCTCTGAATAGGTTGTGACACTTCTAAGTTAAATTTATTAGACATAAATTTAAGACTCATGTGATCCTACATTATTTTCAAAATAATGGTTTGAAATGTGAATGTTTTTGGTATACATTACAATAAATTGTTTGCTTACTATGTATCCCACAAGAAAAATATGTCTTTAAAAATTTTTAGATATAGAAGTGATTCACAAGTCTTTTTTTAACCACAAATCCCTGAATTAGATTGTAGTGTTACTAGGACTTTTTGTTTGGATGAAATATACACATTTGACCTTATGTAACATACTAGAGGCCCAGTGCACAGAAATTTGTGCAAGGGGTGTGTGTCCCTCAGCCCAGCCTGCACCCTCTCCAATCTGGGACCTCTCAAGGGATGTTTGACTACCCATTTAGGCCCAATCCTCTAGGCCTCTCACAATCCAGGACTGCTGGCTCCCAACTGCTCGCTTGCCTGCCTTCCTGATTGCCCCTAACCACTTCTGCCCGCCAGCCTGATCATACCCTAACCACTCTCCTGCCAGCCCGATTGGTGCTTAACTACTCCTCTGCCAGCCCAATTGCCCCTAACTGCCCTTCCCTGCCAGCCTGGTCACCCCAAACTGCCCTCCCCTGCAGGCCTGGTCATCCCTATCTGCCATCCCCTGCAGGCCTGATCGCTCCCAACTGCCCTCCCTTGCTGGTCTGATCACCCACAACTGCCCTCCCTTGCAGGCCTGATCCCTCCCAACTGCCCTCTCCTGCTGGCCATCTTGTGGCAGCCATCTTGTGTCCACATGGGGAAGCCATATTTGACCACATGAGGGCAGCAATCTTATATGTTGGAGTTACAGTCAATTTGCATATTACTCTTTTATTAGATAGGATTCTAACCAACAGGAGCCACTGCCCATGAAACTTTTTGGGAATGAGAAAATGTCATACTCATCTCTGTATCCCAGCATCCACCACATATCCCTAGAATGTATCATGAGCTTAAAACTGCATAAAATTTTATGCCATCAAAATCTAACTTTACTACAAATACTAAAAGATTATGAAATATTTCAGACCTTCAAAAAAGTAATAGTTAATTTTTGTTACTTCAATTGAAATTAAAAATACTTTCAACCATAAATAAATATTTATATAGACTTTGAGAGAAAAACATTTATTGTTGGAAGGAGAAACACCCCACAAAATCCTTGCATTATTGGTTAAGAAAGTATAATATTCTAAGACTAGAATTTTGGAGAAAGAGGGATTAATCTTTAAAATTTGTCCTTTAAAAGGACTATAACACCAAATTGTTCATTTTATATTTTCTTTAGAGGCATATTTGTCAAAGGCAGAAATTTTCAGGAAAAGAAAAGAGGTTACTCTGGCGATTCTAAATTATACCCAGGCAATCAAGTTGAAGCCCACAGATGCTGATATATATTTCAGGAGGGGTGAGATGTATGAATTAACAAACAAATTCTTGGCCATTGATGACTTTTCTACAGTGAGTTGTATCACATACAATGCTGCCATTATGTTTTAGCTTATAATATTCTCATCCTAATATTATAGCAAAGTGTTGTATAATCAAAATTAATTTATTATAGGTTAGGACTGAGGGCCATGGTTGGCAAACTGTGGCTCCTGAGCCACATGCAGCTCTTTGGTCCCTTGACTCTTCCACAAAATACCATGGCCTGGGCGAGTTTATTTTGAAGAAGTGGCGTTAGAAGTTTAAGTTTAAAAAATTTGGTTCTCAAAAGAAATTCAATCGTACTGTTGATATTTGGTTCTGTTGACTAATAAGTTTACTGACCACTGATAGGGCAATCATACTGGAATTAATGTTACTACTATGTCAAATATTTAAAACTATTATTATTAGTGAGTGAATGGGTTTAATCAAAGAGTTGGGTTTTGGAGATTTGAGTCAATCCTGAGGGGGGTTTAACTTTTCCAGGAAACCTTTGAAAATTGCTTCTTCGCTTTAAACATTAGAGAAAACCATTTTCCAAACTCTTGAGACACAGCTGATTCTCTTCTGTAGCAAATCCATCTGCTTCTAAAGAAGCTGTGTTTACTCACTCACTTGCTCATTCACGAACTAATATTTATTGACTAAGGTGTTCTATAATGTATTGAATAAATCTTCATGAATAAAATAGACATGCTTCCTGCTTATGTGGAGCTTATAGTTTAAAGGACAGACATTAAAGAAATAAATACATAAGTAAATATATAATTACAAATTATAGTAACTTCTGTAAAGGAAATAAAAAGATGGGGGAGTAATTTATATTTGGTATGGGATATCAGGAAATTCCCTTCAGGAAGTGAACTTTTGGCTGAATTGAGACTCTATATAATTAGACAAAATATTCCTCTGATTGCAGAATATCGATAATTTTAACCTTGATTTCCTGACTTTTAATTCTTAGTTCTTAGTACAGTTGTGAATTTTTAGAAGTTATTTAAATAACTTATCTTTTCATTTTTTTAACTGCCATGTTTCTTAATCTTTGATGGTTAGCCATATACTTGACATTGTTTTTGCTTCAAGAGATTGTAAGTTTGATAACCTCTGGTCTTGAATAAAATCTTTTCAATATTTTCTTTTGAAGATATCAAAATCATTAGCTTATCTATTTGGTTCATTTCTTCCATCTGGCACCAATAGTTTTAAAATTGACTAATGAAATAACATAAGGTCAAACAAACTTAAAAATCTTTAGGTTTTTTTTTGTTTGTTTGTTTGTTTCCCTATTTTAAAAATACTTGATAATTTTTATGCTTCATTCCCACTATCCCCAGAATCAATGGTGAGGAGATTTATAACTGAGTATACAATAATTTAGTCTGTTCACTCTAATGCTTATATGTCAATGTGAAATGAATGAATCATGCCAATTACCAATTCATTCGTTTTTACAATTTTGGGGATTAGATTCATTCATATTTTATTTGATAGAATCAGCCTTGGTGTATTCAGTCTAATATGTAGATAAGCAGTCTAATATATATCTTTAATTGAGATAGAATGCTGAGGACACATTGGGATAAAATTGATAGAGCCAATATAACACAAATTGAACAATTCACTTTTGAAATTTTATCTGTAAAAATTTCAGTGGGGCAAAGCCTTGGCTGCTTGTATATGCCATTTTAGTTCTCTTTCAGAACTCCTCTTTCTAGAACTTGATGATAAGTGGATTTCCTAAAGACATGATTTTAAAATGCAAATGTAAAAATGTTTTCATCTGCAGCACTTTGCTTTTCTATAATCTGAAGTTTAAAATGTGGCTGTAGTCCAATTAATTTCCACATTCATATGTTTTCCTGTTTGTCTTTTCCCCATTATGTGATTTGTTTTTTTTTTTTGGTCTCTCATCCAACCTGACACCCCTCCCCATGCAGTGCATTTTTTATGATCCCAAAAGAACAGCTGCATTATTGAAGCGTGGAATGTTTCACTATGAAAATGAAAACTGGAATTCAGCCATACAGGATTTTACAGCCTTGTTAAATGTAGATCCCCAAAATTCTCAAGCAAGGTAAGGATTATTTTACATGTAATTTTTGAAATTATAATATTTTTTGAAATACATTCTCAGGAAAGAAAATTGCTTGAAATACATCAGACAGCCCTTTAAAAATATGTATCTATTTTCAGTGACCTCAGTGAAGAAAATCTTTACTATACCCTAACAGGAGTGGTTAATTTAATTTAATAAGGCATAAATTTAGCTTCATTAGCATTTTCTAAATACCAGTTACATGCATGTGCTGGGGAATCGAAGCGGGCCTGGTGAGGTCATTGGGGAAAAAACGGGACATATGTGAAACTTTCACCAATAAATAATTTAAAAAATAAAAATAAATCACAAAAGAGAAAAAAGAAAATAAAATCTTCAAAAATTAACTATAAAAATAAAGAAATAAATACTAGTTACATTATTTATTTGTAATGTATTGGCGTATGTTTTTATTCTTTTTTTTATTGTCTGAAGTTTTACACATGTCTCCTTTTTCCCCTATTGACCCCTTACCCCAGCCATTCCCACCCCGAGCAAGCCCCCACTGCCGAAGTGCCTGTGTCCATTGGTTATGCTAATATGCATGCATATGAGTCCTTTGGTTGCTCTCTAACCACCCCACCTAACATTTGTCTCTAGATTGAGCTATTCTTGTTCATCAAATTATGTTGATCATTATATCCCACATATGAGTGAAATCATGTGATAGTTATCTTTCTCTGATTGGCTTAATTTGCTTAGCATAATGTTCTCCAGTTCCTTCCATGTTGTTGCAAATGTTAAAAGTTCCTTTTTTTTTTTTTTTTTTTTAATAGTGACATAGTATACCATTGTGTAGATATACTACAGTTTTTTAACCTGCTCATATTGCTGATGGGCACTTAGGCTGTTTCCAAATTTTAGCTATTGTAAATTGTACTGGTATGAACATAAGGGTGCATATATCCTTTCTGATTGCTGTTTCTGGTTTCTTGAGATATAGTCTTAGGAGTGGAATTACTGGGTCTAATCGGAGTTCCGTTTTTAATTTTCTGAGGAAATGCCATACTGTTCTCCACAGTGGCTGCACCAGTCTACATTCCCACCAGCAGTAAAGAGGGTTCCTTTTTCTCCACATCCTTGCCAGCTCTTGTCATTGCTGAATTGTCGATGATAGCCATTCAGACAGGTGTGAGATGGCTTCTCATTATTGTTTTGATTTGCATTTCTCGGATGACTTGTGACTATGAGCATGTTTTCATATGTCTCTCTGTATGTCCTCTTTCAAGAACTATCTATTTAGGTCCTTTGCCCATTTTTTGATTGGATTGTTTATCTTCATTTTGTTAAGTTGTATAAGTTCCCTATAAATTTTAGAGCTTAAATCCTTATCTAAGACTAGAGGCCTGGTGCACAAGATTCATGCACTGGGGGGGAGGGGGAGGGTTCCCTCAGCTCGGTCTGCACCCTCTTGCAGTCTGGGAACTCTTGGGGGATGTCCAACTGACAGCTTAGGTCTCCTCCTCATGAAGAGCAGGCCTAAGTTGTCAGATAGACATTCTTTTTTTTTTTTTTTAATATATTTTATTGATTTTTTACAGAGAGGAAGGGAGAGAGATAGAGAGCTAGAAACGTCAATGAGAGAGAAACATCAACCAGCTGCCTCTTGCACACCCCCTGCCGGGGATGTGCCCGCAACCAATGTACATGCCCCTGACCGGAATCGAACCTGGGACCTTTCAGTCCGCAGACCGACGCTCTACCACTGAGCCAAACCGGTTTCGGCTAGATGGACATTCTTAGCATTGTCACCACTGTGCTCGCCAGCCATAAGCCATGAGCCCAGCTTCTGGCTGAGTGGTGCTCCCCTTATGGAAGTGCACTGATCACCAGAGGACAGCTCCTGCATTGAGCATGTGCCCCCTGGTAGTCAGTATGCATCATAGCAAATGGTCATTCACCATTTGGTAGATTTGCACATTAACCTTTTATTATATAGGACGTGAGGCCCGGCACGCGAAATTTGTGCGCAGGCATGGTCCCTAGGTCTGGCCTGCGATCAGAGCCATCTTCCCCAGCTGCCTGCAGCTGGCCCTGCCCCCCACCGCCCCCCGCCCCCAGTTCTCCGTTTGCCACCTGGGGATCAGTGCCTGATGGCCGCGGGAGGGGACCAAAAGGCCAGCTGTTCTCGCCTGCTCGCCAGTCCCACCCCTGCAGTGGGTGGCCATCGGGAAGTCAGAGTCTGCCGGCTGGGAAAAGAGACCAAGAGGTAGTCAGTGCACCTCATAGTTAGTGGTCCAGTGGTCGTTCTGGTCATTCTGCCATTAGGGTCAATTTGCATATTATCCTTTTTATTATATAGAATAGAGGCCTGGTGCATGGGTGGGGGCCGGCTGCCCTCCACTGAAGGAGGCTCCGGATTGGGGCGGGGGTCCCCACTGGGGAGTGGGGCTGGCTTGTGCAAGAGGCAGAGGGCCCCTGATTGGAGGGGGTGTCCCCCTGGGGGTGGGAGGATGCGGGCCAGCCTGAGTGAGTGGCTGCTTGGGGTTTGCAGGCCAGCTATACCCCCAGTTGGGGTGGAAAATTCCTGCTGTAGGATGAGGCCGGCCTGGGGGAGGATCCTGGGGCAGTTTATAGTCCAGCTGGGCCCCTTATTGGGGTTGGGGGCTTTGCTGGGGGGTGGATCAGACTGGGTGAGGGTCCGCTTGTGGTTTGCAGGCCAGCCACACACCAGATTAGGGTGGGGGTCCCCACAGGGGGGTGGGGCCTGCCTGGGTGAAGAGTCTGGGCAGTTTGCAGACCAGCCACCCCCTGACCGGGGTGGAGGGGGTCCCTGAATGAGGGCAGGGCCACCCTGGGCAAGGGGCCTGGGATACTTTTCAAGCTGGCCATGATAGGGGTGGGAGGTCCCTGCTGTGGGATGAGGCTGGCCTGGATGAGGAGCCTGGAGCAGTTTGTAGGCTAGCCATGCCCCCGATCAGGGTTGGGGTCCTGCTAGGGGGCAGGGTGGCCTGGGCTAGGGGCTGCAGGTGGTTTTCAGGTTGGCCATGCCCCTGGCTTTGTCCAGAAGGACGTCGGTCTAATTAGCATATTACCCTTTTATTAGTATAGATAGCATTGGCGAATATGTTCTCCCATGCAGTGGGCTTTCTTGTTGTTCTGTTGATGGTTTCTTTTGCTGTGCAGAAGCTTTTTATTTTGATGTAGTTCCATTAGTTTATTTTCTCCCTAGTTTCCATTGCTCTAGAAGCTGTATTGGTAAAGATGTTGCTAAGACATATATCTTATATTTTGCTGCCTATGGAGTCTGCTAAGACTTTTATGGTTTCCCATCTTACCTTTAAGTCTTTTAACCATTTTGAGTTTATTTTTGTGTATTATGTAAGTTGGTGATAGAGTTTCATTTTTTTGCTTGTATCTGTCCAATTTTCTCAACACCATTTATTGAAGAGACTGTCTCCATTGTATGCTCCTGTCTCCTTTGTCAAATATTAATAGAGAGTAATAACGGGTTAATTTGCACATTTGCTCTGATTGGCTGGTGGGTGTGGCTGGCAGGCATGGCTTGTGGTGTAGCGGAGTGATGGTTAGTTTGCATATTACTCTTTTATTAGGTAGGATTTTAGTGAGAGAGCGAAAGGGAGAGCACGAGAGAGAAGTTTGTTGTTCTACTAATTCATGCATTTGTTATTTGATTCTTGCATGTGCCCTGACCAGTAATCAAACCTGCAACCTTGGCCAATCAGGATGATGCTCTAACCATTGAGATACCTGGCCAGGGCCAATCACAAATTTTTAAATGTGAAATTAATTGTATAGGTTTTGCCAAAAAGACAAAATATCTATTCTGCAATACATGTTAAGATTAACTTCTTTTTCTTTCTAGGACATACCGAGGGAAATCATATTTTAAACGACAGTTTTATAAGCAAGCAACTCAGGATTTTTCTGTTGCAATTCACTTGGATCCTAATAACTGGGTAGCATATTATTATAGAGGCTGCATATTGAGAAAGGGTAACCCTTTTAGAGCACTACAGGATTATAGTGTTTCAGGTACATCATTTTCAATTCACATATAAAGGATGATTGATGTAATATGTATATTACTAGAGGCCCAGCCCCACCCCCACTGGGCCCTAATCTTTCCACCTGTGAAGTGAGTGGCCTATCATGGATTTCCACCAGGACTTCTTCCAGCTGAATGAGTTTTGAACCATGAGAACCACATGGATACTCATAAACAAATACATTTTAAATGAATACTATTTTGTACTCTTCAAATAAATACACTCATTGTATACATGCTTTCCTTTATAGAATGTTTAAAAAAGAGATGTAGGAAGGGTATAGATTGAACTATAACTCAGATATGTTTGTTCAGAACATGAATAAGAGATATATTTTTATTTTCAAGCTCTCATAAATGATGGCTATGAGAATCTTGCTTGTTTCCTACATCGGGGCATAATCTATGCACATCTAAAACTTTGGTTGCTGGCAATTTGTGACTTTGAAACTGTTATTTCTTTAGAAAGGTAGGTTTTCCTTTCCATTTTTTACTAATATCCTTTTTGTATAAACTTGTATAGACCTGTTGTATACATCTGTTTTGCCCCAGATGGTTTTGAAAACTTTGGAGATTGAATAGTTTATGAGGAATTAAATCCATGAATGACAAAATAAACTCCACACGTTTTTTTTTAAAAGCAGGTTGGAGGTACCCAGATTAGAGCTTTTTAAAGTTAACTTTATGAAACACTGTCATCAAATTTTAAAATAATCCACATATATAAAAGCCTAAGTGGTCATAGCAACCAAATGGATGACCGAACAGGCTGCATGGGATGATGCGGCTGGCAGGAGCATTAGTGAGGGGCGACCAAATGACTGAATAGCAGGCTGCATGTGGTGACCAGGCCTGCAGGGGAAGCAGTTGGGGACAACCAGGCAGGCGGGGGGGGGGTAGGGGAAGGGGGCAGTGAGGGGCATCAGGATAGCAGAAGGGGGTCAGTGAAGGGTGACCAGGCCAGCAGGGGGGATGTTGGAGGTGACCAGGCTGGCATGGGGGGCATGCCGTAAAGGGTAACCAGGCCAGTTGGGTGCAACTAGGGGTAACCAGAGCGACAGGGGGAGGGCAGTTGGGGGCGACCAGGCCAGCAAGGGGGCAATTAGGGGAGACTAGGCTGCCAGGTGGGGAGAAGTTGGGGGTGACTACGCCAGCAGACAGGGCAGTTGGGGGTGACCAGGCTAGCAGGGGGGAGCAGTTAGGGGCAATCAGGCAGGAGGGAAGGTGAGCAGTTAGGAGCCAGGTTCCCAGATCAGGCCTAAACTGGCCTAAACTGGACATCGCTGAGGGGTTCCAGATTAGAGAGGGTGCAGGCTGGGCTGAAGGTGCACTGGACCTCTAGTGAGAAAATATTCTGCTTGATATATCATTGCTATGCACAACACACAGCTCAATAGAAGGAAACCTCTATTTAGAACTTCTGACTTCATTTTACTTAGTAAAAAAATAGGGAAAAAAGGCAATAATATTTAGAACTAGTGTGTATAAGGAAGAAACACAGACTGAAAGCTATATACACTAGTCAGAAAGTTAAGCTATAAAGATTTAATTAAATAAATTGATTGAAGCCTTTATTTAAATAGATGATGTCAGAAAGAGGAATAAAGCATGGGGATTCCATGCTAACCACCAGACTGTTTACTTAGCTTATCAATAAGGCAAATGTTACACTTGTCCAGGAAAGTCATGGAGTACGGCTCCATAATAGCCACAGTGCTTTTCTTTTTGATAATGTTGAGCCAGAAATGGAAAGACAAGGGTTTCAGTTGCAAAAAACTGGAACATGGGCAATGAGAACTTTTGCATCTTGTAGGTAAGGGGACAGGGCTTCCATGAAGTTGGGGTGTAGGATGGGTAATTTCCTTATTTTGAAACAGGGGAGTTGAGTAGGTAATTTCTAAGGTCATTTACTCAGAAAATTGTTTTACTCTAAGAGAGAAAACATTTATTTGCTCTAGAAAAGAATCTGGGTTAATACCTATGTGGAGAGGATATTTAACCACAAACCTTGAGACTGTCATTATTTCTCATTTTTCTCATGGCGAATATAATAGAACCTGAGGCAAAACTTTTTTTTTTTTTTTAAATCTTCCCCAAGGATGGATGGATATGTTTGTGTGTATGTTTTAAAGGAAACATTGATGTGAAAGAGAAGCATCAGTTGGTTGCACCCTGACTGGGGATCGAACCTGCAACCTATGTATATGCCTTAACTGGGAATCAAATCAGCAGCCTTTTGGTATACAGGAGGACACTCCAACCCACTGAGCCACCTGCTGAGGGCCCAGAAACTTTTGAATTGAGGAAAACTAAGCTTGTAATTCAAGATAAATCAAGATTAAATAAAGGAAGAGTAAAGTACTGCTAAGTCAGACCTCAGGAATTCTGTTCCTGGCCCAAACTCAAAAAATGTTCATTCCCTGCTAAGGATTTTATAAAGGTGTTGATAATCTCTAACAGAGAGTGTTTGGTTAACTTACTTTGCTTTAGTAAAGCATTAAAAGAAACCTGCTATAAATCGATGTATTTCATTAGGTTCATTCATAATTGAAGAGCATTGTAGTAATTAAAATGTCTAACAAGATTTTGCTTTCTCATTTTTTTAGAACTGTTACTTTGGCTTATATAAATATTGGCATCATAGATCTGCTACATTTAGATAACTACATTGACGCCACTTGGTATTTTTCCGAAGCTATTAAAATTGATCCTTCATATATTCAAAGCTATATGTGTCTAGCAGAAACTTACAATAAGGTATTTAAGGTTTGAGAACCTTGATTTTTTTAAAAAAAGTTTTAAATTTCTGGATGTTTGTTCAATATAATTTAAAACATGTTAATGTGTTTTTTCAGATAATTGCAGTGGCTAATGCATTTATAAGCCATAAACATTAAGTAGATATAGTTAACTATAATTACCCAGTTATAAAGACTGTATTGATGAGGTATGACTTTCTGTCTTTCATTTTTTTAAAATACATTTTTTCCTAATTACAAAAGCAACATATATTTGTTGCATATAATACTTTTACTTGTATATAGTCACAGATAAATTTAAAACTACTGATGATTTCATTCTTTACGGTTAACTGCTATTAACATTTGGGAGCCTACCAGTTGTGTGTGTGTGTGTGTGTGTGTGTGTGTGTGTGTGTGTGTGTGTGTGTGTGAGAGAGAGAGAGAGAGAGAGAGAGAGAGAGAGAGAGAGAGAGAGAGAGAGAGAGAGATGGGTTTGTGGAATGAAATTTATGCATAAAATGGGATCCTACTCACTAATGCTTTCCCTTAGATTTTGTTTAGATTTATATGTTATTTGAATTAAAAAATGTAGCATATCCTTTATGTAACAAATTCAAACAATACAATAAACAGGAAGTCTTAGCTGACTCCAACCATATCTAACTTTCTGGAGATAAACACTCTTGTCTCTGCCTTTCAAAATAGATATCCCTTTCCACTACTCACCCACTAACCAACACCCTGTCATTTCTCATTAGGACTATTGCAGCAGCCTTCTGGTCTTCTTCTGTTCTTTACTCCTTTATGATGGATTTTCAACACAGCAGCCATAGTGATCCTGTTAAAACATGCCAGATTATTTCACTTCTTTGCCCAGAATCCTTCAATAGCTTCCCTTTACGCTCAGAATAAAAGCCAAATCCTGCAAAAGCCATAGAAAGGCCTGCAAGAGCCCATGTGACTTGGCTCAATACTTTTTTGCTCTTGTCTCCTCCAAATCCACTAGTCACACTCATTTCCATCAGATTAGGAAGATTATGGTGTGAGGGTGAGCCACAGAAACAAAACACCAACCCCACAAAAACAAACATAAAACTCTACTTCAAAATCACTATTAAAATAGGGTTTTTTCGTTTGTTTTTTTCTTCCTCGCACTGCCTCTCCTAGAAGATTGGGCTGGAGGCTCCAGTCTCCACTGTCTACGTCTCAGGACGCAGTGTGACTAGGATCCCATTGGGAGCTCTTACCTTCCTCATGATAGAGGTGTAAGGCCCAGGCAGGTTAGGGTAAGTGTAGTCCCCAGGGAAAGTTTGCTCTTGACTCCTGCTGGGAAAGGGATGGACATCTTGTGGTGTGTGGTCCTTTTGCTTGCCTACCTGTTGTTGGAGCTGAAGGCTTCTGAAATTTCCTTTGAGTGCACTTAGAAACCAAAGCCCCAGCATTATGTCAGGGTAAGGACATGCATTCAAAAACTCATTGTTCTGCCAAAACTGGTTTGGCTCAATGGATAGAGCATCGGCTTGGGGACTGAAGGGTCCCGCGTTCGATGCCGGTTAAGGGCATGTACCTTGGTTGCCGGCATATACCCAGTAGGGGGTGTGCAAGAGGCAGCTGATCAATGACTCTCTCTCATTGATGTTTCTAACTCTCTCTCTCTCTCCCTTCCTCTCTGTACAAAATCAATAAAATATATTAAAAAAAAAAACACCTCATTGTTCTGAGGAGACAAAAATCTCTGCACAGTAGTGAATAAGTTATGTTGTATTCACACACAGAATATTATGTAGTCAATAAAAAAACAACTAGCCGAGACCAGTTTGGCTCAGTGGATAGAGTGTCGGCCTGCAGACTGAAGGGTCCCGGGTTCAATTCCGGTCAAGGCATGTACTGTGGTTGCGGGCACATCCCCGGTGGGAGGTGTGCTGGAGGCAGCTGATCAATGCCTCTCTCTCATCGATGTTTCTAGCTCTCTATCCCTCTCCTCTCTTTTCTGTAAAAAATCAATAAAATATATTTAAAACAAAAACAAACAAACAAACAAACAAAAACAACTAGAACTATATCATATGGTGTAAGAAGACGACTAGGTTTGGGTAGTAAGCATGTGATGTCCTGATATACTGATGATGTCCTATAGAATTGTACGCTTGAAACCTTTACAATGCTATTAACCAATGTTACACCAATAAATTTAATTTAAAACAGAATATCAGCTGACTGTGTAAGAAAAACAAGATTCATAAAAGAGTATAAAGTAGGTACAATATAATTCAATGTAAATAAAACATTCACAAATCAAACTGTTTGCATATAGAAGAACACATATGCCTATTGTGTGTGCTCAGCCTCCAGGGAGAAGCGAATCTAAGGCTGTCTGGAGAAGTCCAACCCCAGGTCAGCTCATAAAGATCAGAGAGTGAACCTCCATGTTTCCCAACCAGGGTTTCAATGTATAAATATTTACAGGTGGTGCAGACATATAAATAGATGATTTAATACTTACACCAACCTGAGCAGGGTCAGCATGAGAAGCAGCAGGCCTGAAGTCCCACAGAAATTCTCCAGTTAATTTAAATACATCTCAAACTCTCTCCTTTCTGGTTCCCTCTTTTGACCCCACTTATCCTTTCCTCCAAACAGTTGGACAATTTCTGCTTTCATGCACAAATGAGTGCATTCTCCTTTTGGCATCACCATGTCAGTGCAGTAGAGGAGCCATTGCTTGTCAAGATTCATTTTGCTGGGGTTTCTGTGGAACTCCTTTTATAATATTCCCAGTGATAATAGGTTTTTGTCACTAAATTTGTACAAATCCAGATTATGCTCCTGTGACCAGCATTAAGGAAATAATCAATGTTTAGAATGTCTATATCGATTTTAAACAGGCGAATTTTTCTTGTTTTATTTATTAATTTACTTACTAATTTTAAGTGAAAGCCTCTTTGTTCCCCCAATTTTTAAATGTAATTGACTTTTACTTTCAATTTTACCCTCCTTTGCATGAATAAAGTTTGGTGCAAAAGGTGTTATAGATGAGGGGGAAAACTGAAAAGCTAAACAAAAACAAAAAAAACAAAAACAAAAAAAAGGAAAACAACCCAAAATGTATGATATAATTACATTTATATAAAATTACATATGTGGGTATGTGTAAAAATCCTTCAAAATTAAAGGTAACTTGTTTTTAAAAACCAAAACACTGCATTACAAACTTTTCTTTTTATTTCTTTGTATCCCATTTACCATGATAACTTAAAAAAAATGTTTTCATTGATTCCAGAAGAAGGAAAGGAGGAGAGAAAGAAACATCAACGATAAGAGAGAATAATTGATCAGTTGCCTACTGCATGTGCCTTACCAAATGCAATATACTTATATCTTTTGTTCATGTGCAACCTGGGCATGTGCCCTGATCAGGAATCAAACCATGACCTCCTGATTCATGGGTTGGTGCTCAACCACTGAGCCATACTGGCTGGGCTGCTATGATAATTTTTAAGAAAAACATGTATTAGAAAATGTTTCGGCAAAACTTCTGTATTGAAGAATGGCATGGGATAAACACCAGAAAGGATTGTTATGAGCTAAGTTTCTGTCTATCAATCAACAGGTGCATAAATTGCAAAAGGCAACAAGAGAGATAACTCGTGCTATCCACCTTCAGCCAGATCGAATCGAGTTATATATAATAAGGTATTGGCATAGAAATCACATATTCAAGTCCTCTCTTGATCTTTCCAGTGACCTTCTTTTACATTTAATCTTTCAGCGGTGGCCAAGACCCAAACACCAAGTCAGATATAGCTATTGATTTTGTTAAGCTTGAAGAAAAGTTATAAGATAGCATATCTTTCCCTTTGCTCTATCCTTTCATCAAAACACAACCATTTCATGTTTTAAATTATTTCAGGCCTCTCTACATTACTGGTTATGCAATTATCACAGGGCTCATGAAAGTAAAATAGTATTTTGAGCAATTATTTGATTATGTCCACAGAGGTACCAAATATGAACCTCAGCTAATTCCGTGTGTGGGGGGGAGGAGAGGAGGAAAGTGACACATTGAATTGTATTTATTTCAAATGCCATAGAGTTTTCTCTAAGGAGACATTGAACATTATGAGTTATCACAAAAAAATGTTATTGTCTCTAACTCAGGAAATGGGCATATAGATATGGGAAAATGGACTAGAATAATGCTTTCTGATAAGGGCTTGCTTTGTTTTTAAACCCTTGGACCACATTTTAACAATTTATGTAATACTTTTCCACTTTTATGTACTAGAACTGTGTTCATTTTTAAATTAATTTCTTAGCAATAGAATTTAACATTTTAAAATATATTTTATTGATATTTTACTGAGAGGAAAGGAGAGAGAGAGAGAGAGGAGAGAGAGAGAGAGAGAGAGAGCGCTAGAAACATCGATGAGAGAGAAACATTGATCAGCTGCCTCTTGCACACCCCCTACCTAGGATGTGCCTGCAACCAATGTACATGCCCTTGACCGGAATCGAACCTGGGACCTTTCAGTCCGCAGACCGACGCTCTACCACTGAGCCAAACCGCTTCGGCAGAGTTTAACATTTTAAATACAGTAATTGCAAAAAGATTTAAGCTTTTTCTTCTTTCAGCTTCATATCTCCTAAATTGTTTTCTCATCACATCTCCAAGTTAGTTGGTTCATTTGGACAATATAAAATGTTTATAATTTTCAAATTGTTTTTATCATATATATGTAAGTATACATATATGTATTATAATTACAAAATTACAAGTAGCTGGTTATAAGAAACTTTGTTGTGGAAAAAATTTTCAAGCTTAGAATTAAAAGGGCATTATTTCTTCCAGAGGACAATATCTTCTTAGGATGAAATGTTATGATCTTGCAAAGTTCACTATTTACCAAGTAGCAGAAATGAACAAAGGTAAATATAATTAATGCAAAATTATAATGGCCTCAACTTAAAAGTAAATGCTTCTTTAAAATGTTTATGGTATTTGCAAAAGCTATGCATAGTTGGCTTGAAGAATTCACTTGAAAATCTAAGTTAGACTTTTGAAACTTTAAAAGTTCCATTTCATTTGCATATAATCAATAGTAAAATGCTTCAAAACAGTGAATTTTGTGAGAGAGGTTATTATAGGAAATACCAGGCTTACATTTTTATTTTTTTTGTTTTTGTTGGAATGTCTTACTGTTCGTTGATGGAAAATATATTTTAGTATCATATTGATTTGTTAATTCATATTAAAAGATAGATCATTGATCAAAATATTACATGTATTCTAAATCCTAGATACTTGGTCAAGGTATTGATAAGCTTTCTTTTTATTTTAGGTTTCATTGAGTTGAGTCCTATACAGCAAGCACTCATTTATTCATTTTGTGAAAACCATGAGGCGGCCATTCAGATGTTGGATGGGGCCACTTTGAATAGGCCTGAGATCAACATGATTATTCTATTAGCAAAAACCCAAATGAAGGCAAAGAGAAATAAGGTACAAAGTCTTGAATAATGCTTACTAGGCTATTAATGGAATTTTAATATTTTGCTTAGAATGACTGCTTGCATATATTTTATAAAACTAAATTATATCATTTATTTATTGACTAGAGACCCAGTGCACGAAATTCATGCACTTGGGGGGGAGGGGAGTTGTCCCTCAGCCTGGCCTGCATCCTCTCACAGTCCAGGAGCCTTCAGGGATGTCCTACTGATGTACCTACGCTGTCAGTTGGACATCCTTAGTGCTGCTGTGGAGATGGGAGAGGCTCCCTCCACTGCCGCTGTGCTCACCAGCTGTGAACCCAGCTCAGGGCTTCTGGCTAAGTGTCATTCCCCCTATGGGAGTGCACTGACCACCAGGGGGCAGCTCTTGCATTGAGTGTCTGTCCCCTGGTGGTCAGTGCACATCATAGCTACCAGTCATTTCTCTGTTCAGTAAATTTGCATATTAGCCTTATATTATACTAGAGGCCTGGTGCATGAATTTGTGGGTGGGACGGGGGTGTCCCTGAGCCCAGCCTGCACCTCTCCAATCTGGGATTAGTGGGATCTGGCCTAAACAGGCAGTCTGACATCCCTCTAACAATCTAGGACTGCTGGCTCCCAACTGCTTGCCTGCCTGCCTTCCTGATTGCCCCTAACCTCTTCTGCCTGCCAGCCTGATCACCCCTAACTACTTCTCTGCCAGTCTGATTGATGCCTAACTGCTCCCATGCCAGCCTGTATGCCCCTAACTGCCATCCCCTGCAGTCCTGATCACCCCTAACTGCTGTCCTCTGTAGGCCTGGTGACCCCTAACTGCCCTTCCTTGCATGCCCAGTCACCCCCAACTTCCTTCCTCTGCCAGCCTGGTCCCTTTCAACTGCCCTCCCCTGCTGGCCATCTTGTGGTGGCCATCTTGTGTCTACATGGGGGCAGGATCTTTGACCACATGGGGACAGCAATTTTGTGTGTTGGAGTGATGGTCAATCTGCATATTACTCTTTTATTAGATAGGATAGAGACCTGGTGCAAGGGTGGGGACCTGCTGGTTTGCCCTGAAGGATGTCCCGGATCAGGGTGGGGGTTTTCTTGGGGCATGGGGCAGCCTGGGTGAGGGATCTGTGGTGGTTTGCAGACCAGCCATATTCCCTGGCGACCCAAGTGGAAGCCCTGGTATCTGGGGTTTATTTATCTTCTACAATTGATATTTTGTAGCCTGGAGTGGAGTCAAGTCAAGTTTCTGCTTGCTCCATGGCTGCTGCCATTTCTGTTTGGATTTGTTTACCTTCTATAATTGAAACTTTGTACCCTTGAGTGGAGGCCTAGGCCAGTAAGGGCAGGCAGAAAGCTTGGCCTCCTCCATTGCTGAGGAAATCCAAGCTCCCCTTCTGCTCTCTTTGGCTCCAGCCATCTTAGTTGGGGTTAATTTGCATAATTTCTCTGATTGGCTGGTGGGCATGGCAGAGTGATGGTTAATTTGCATATCACTCTTTTATTACCCTATTTCCCTGAAAATAAGACAGTGTCTTATATTAATTTTTGCTCCCAAAGATGTGCTAGGTCTTATTTTCAGGGGATGTCTTATTTTTCCATGAAGAAGAATACGGTACATATTTATTGTTAAATGAAAATAAAGGAAATTTATTACCTGTAGACAGTACGGTAGTTGTCAACACAAACCAGACAAACTGTGAACCCTACAGTATCAAGAATTTACTCATTTATTCAATGACAATGATGTCATCATCTTCTGGAACATCATCATAACAATCCAATTCCTGAATTTCCTGGTGAATTTCTTGTGACTCCATTTCTTTCCGAATCAGTGGACCAAATCTCTCATGTTTAACAATGAGTATTTCTTGTCAAGGTAGCCTGCTCGCAGTGCATTTGCAATGCAACTGTCAGTAATTTTCTCCCATGGATTCTTCACCCAAGTCACAACTTCTTGCAGTTTAGGTTCACAAAGTTTCTGAGACAGAGCCTAGGGGGGACCTTATTTTCGAGGGGATGCCTTATATTTCACTCAGAAGGAAACCTGTAAGTAGATCTTATTTTCGGAGGATGTTTTATTTTCGGGGAAACACGGTAGATAGGATAGGATTCTTTTGCTAATTAACATTTAGGTTGTTTCCTTTTATTATTTTTTCTCCTAAGAGTAGGGCTGCCCTTGCCAGTTTGGCTCAGTGGATAGATCATAGGCCCTAAGAATGAAGGGTCCCTGGTTTGATTCCAGTCAAACACATACCTGGTTGGGGCAACTGTAAGAGGCAACCAATAGCTGTTTCTCTCATATCAATGTTTCTGTCTATCCTCCTCCCTTCTACTTTCTCTAAAAATCAATAGAAAGATATCCTTGGTGAGGATTAACAAAAACAACAAAAAATTAGGGTTACTAAAAGTATTCTTTTTTCTGTCTTCTGTTAAAACATGGAGTAGTTTTCCAGGATTTCTCAGGAATGGAATTGCTGGTGTGTAGAGAATGTGAATACCTAACTTTCAAGCTAATGATCCATTGTTCCGTAGGATTGTATCATTTATTCTCCCAACTGCAGTATGAAGGTCCTGCTAATCTGCATTTTCTACAATAATTGGTGGTGTTAAGTTTCATTTTTGTCAATTTGGAGGAGAAAGACCACTCCTTGAGTTCTTAATTCACATTCCTCAGTTTGAGCACAGATTGAACTTCTTTATATATGTTTATTAGGCATTCATATTTCCTAATCTATCAATTTCCTATACACAATTTTTGTCTTTTTCCTATAAATTTGGGGCATTTAAAAACTAAATTCTGTTATTAATTTTTGGTTGGCTATAGATTGTTTTTAAAAAAATATATTTTATTGATTTTTTACAGAGAGGAGGAGAGAGAGAGAGAGCTAAAAACATTGATGAGAAAGAAATATCGACCAGCTGCCTCTTGCACACCCCCTACTGGGGATGTGCCCGCAACCAATGTACATGCCCTTGACCGGAATCAAACATGGGACCTTTCAGTCCACAGATCGATGCTCTACCACTGAGCCAAACCGGCTTCGGTATGGCTATGTCTTTGATGCATATATTCTCTCAATTTGTGGCTCTATATTCTAAATATCTCTCAACCTAACTTTCTCTTTTGATTTTTATGGTCATTACTCTAGTCAGAACATATTTATTTTATTTATTAAATTGATTGAAGTGACATTGGTCAATATGAACATATAGGTTTCCTACGTGGGTTTCTATGTTATAAGATTGGTATACTGCATTGTGTGCCCACCATCCAAAGTCAAATCTTCTGTCACCTTATATTAGAACTCCTTCATCCTCCACCCCTTCCCTCTGACAACCACCACACTGCTGTTTGTGTTCATGAGTTTCAGTTTTATATCCCACATCTGAGTGAAATCATTTGGTTCTTAGCTTTTTCTGACTGACTTATTTAATTTAGTATAATGTTCTCAATGTCCATCCATGTTGTTACAAATGGTGCTATTTCATCCTTTCTATGGCTGAGTAGTATTCCATTGTGTATACGAACCACATCTTCTATATCATGGGACACTTTGGTTGTTTCCTTGTCTTGGCCACCATGAATAAAGCTGCAATGAACATAGGGGTGTATATATCTTTTGCGAATACATGATTTTGAGTTTTTCAAATATATACCCAGGAATGGGATTGCTGGGTCATATGGTAATATTCTTAATTTTTTGAGGAATCACCAGATTGCTTTCCATAGTGGTTGTACCAGTCTACATTCCCACCAGCAGTGAATGAGGGTTTCCTTTTTCCCACAACCTCTCCAACACTTGTTGCTTGTCTTGTTGATAATGGCCAGTCTAACAGGTGTAAGGTGATATCTCATCATTGTTTTGATTTGCATTTCCCTGGTTGCCAGTGAGGTTGAACATCTTTTCATATATCTATTGGCTGTTCATATGTCTTCTTAAGAGAGGTGTATTTTCATGTCCTCTGCCCACTTTTTGATTGGGTTGTATGTTTGTTTGGTGTTGAGTTTTATGAGTTCTTTATATATTTTGGAAATTAAACTTTTGTCAGAGCTACTGTTTGGGAACATCAACTCCCATCTGATTGGCTGCTTCTTTGTTTTGACAGTTTCTCTTGCTGTGCAGAATCTTTTTAGTTTGATATAGTCCCATTCATTTATTTTTTCCTTTACTTCCCTTGCCTTTGAGGTCAAATGTTCTCTGTGACCCAGGTCCATAACTTTGGTACCTATATTTTCTTTTATGCAACTTATTCTTTTGAGTCTTATATTTAGTTCTCTGATCCATTTTGAATTAATTTTTGTACATGGGGACAAAGGCTCATCCAGTTTCATTTGTTTGCATGTAGCTTTCCAGTTTTCCCAGCACCATTTATTGAAGAGATTGTCTTTACTCCATTAAGTGTTTCTAGATCCTTTGTCAAAAATTATCTGTCCATACACATGTGATTTTATAGCTGGGCTCTCTATTGATCTGTATATCTGTTGCATTGATCTGTATATCTGTTTTACTGACAATACCATGATGTTTTGATTATCATAACTCTGCAGTATACTTTGAACTTGGATAGCATGATACCTCCAACTTTGTTCTTTTTTCTCAGCATTGCTTTGGCTATTCGGGGTCTTCTGTGGTTCCATACAAATCTGATGATTTCTTGTTCTATTTCTTTAAAAAATGGCATTGGGATTTTGACGGGGATTGTATTAAATCTGTATATTGCTTTGGTAGTATGGCCATTTTAACTATGTTGATGCTCACAATCCAAGAACACGGAATATTTTTTCCATTTTGTTGTACCTTTTTCAATCTCTTTTAATAATGCTTTGTAACTTTTATTATATAGGTCTTTAACATTCTTTGCTAAGTTTATTTTTATGTGTTTTATTCTTTTGGTTGCAATTGCAAAACAATTTTTAAAATTTCTTTTCTGAAGTTTTGTTGTTAGTATGCAGGAAGGCAATGAATTTTTGCACATTGATGTTGTATCCTGCAACTTGACTATATTTGTTTATTG